TGCATGCATTAAGAATAAGAAATTTGCAGCTTGACCCATACTGGAATGAACAAATATATTTCTATAATATACTTCTCGTGTTTGCACTATATTAGATCTTAAAACTTTAAACAGCGAAGTTTGGTAGGGAATGTTTATTTTATTTACCAACTGAGGGGAGTGTCCTTGGATTTTACATTCCTGGATATTGCTATTTCGGAAGGAAAGATAATAGGACCTTAACCTAGTATGATTCAAAATTATTAGAAAGAGAAAAACTTGCAAAGATTGTCAGAAATAAGATGAAACCGTAAAAATACTTACATCAGCATCTAGCTGTCATTCATGATTCCAATTTTACTAATTTTGGATCGATTCATTTTTTCCCGAAGGGGGTTAAGGTTTGATACTTTCAAAATCTTTTTAGTATCAACAAACACATTTGGGTTAAATTTTTATCAATTCAGTTTAAAATTGTATATTTCTATAAATGTTTTCGAACAAATGTTATATTCAAGGCTCTTTCAGTATTAATTAGAAAAATATTCATCAACGTAGACCACCCCTTCAATATTTAGAATCATCCGATAAAATATGGCGCAGGGAAAATTTAAGTCGAAAGGAAGTCTTCCGAAAGGAGTTAAAGGGAAACAAAGCCATAAACATAAAAACTCAGGACCTAAAAGAGGAGGTTAAGATCTTATAACTGGACAAAACTTATTTAGTAAATCTTCATAAATGCAAACATATAAAATAATTTAATAATGCATTTGTTATGTTTACAAATTCCTAACCTGACCCTATTTTGTTTTGTTTTGCCATGTGCTTACTTGTTTATATTTAACATTTTTTTGACAGCTCGAGTTATTGCTCCAAAAAAGACAAAGCAAATAGAAGCAAATAAAATTAAGAAGGTAAGTTTCATTCTATGTATTGAATTAATTTGGAAATATCCTACATCACATGTATCAATTCAATTACCACTTGACCAATTTTTTCCTTTCTAAAGAAAATGGATGTGTCATTATAATGACAACCAATGTTCTAAAGATAAATCAAAATGTTCCATTCAAACGAAAATTTTTACATCGTCCTCTTATGAACATGATCGACTAAGTGATAATTTAATTTGAATACCCATTGAACAGGTATTTCTAAAATATAATAGCCAATCAATTAAGTCGACAGTTTACATAAACACAGAGTATGTAACATGATGTACCATACCTTAAGTCAGCTGTGTCATTCCATATGTTCCACTGATACATGTGTAATGGGAGAGGAGAAAAATACATCAGACTAGACTGGGATTCGAACCCATGCACCTTGAATCTCTGGGCAGGTGCTCTACCTACTGAACTATCTGGCCGCTGGCAATCAAACCCAGCTGACCGCCACATTCCTCCCTCCTTAAAGGTCTTTGGCCCCCAAAGACGCCAACCCAGGCTCATCCCTGGCAGGCTTCTCATATGTCACCTCCAGGGCATGGCACCAAATGTAATGGGAGAGGAGAAAAATGCAGTGGCCCAGACCAGGATTCGAACCCGGGCCTTCTGAATTTCCAGTCAGATGCTGTACTGACTGAGCTATCTGGCCAACGGCGATCAAACCTGGCTGACCACCACACATGTGTTATGGTACATGTAACTCAACATGTGTTATGGAACATATAATTCCAATAAACTTGCCGCAGAACTGAAGCATTTTGGTTTTGTATATTTTTCTCTGACCATAACGCTATACAGATTCCATTATGCAAATATTGTGTAATTTACAGTGCAAGATTTTCTGCGCAAGGTTAAGGAGAAATTCTCCACTTTCCAGCATTTGTCAATCAACTACATTTCACCCCCAGAGATTCTAGACGTATTTTTTACCTCACCTGAGCCGAAGGCTCAAGTGAGCTTTTCTGATCAAAATTTGTCCGTTGTCTGTCGTCGTTGTTGTTGTTGTTGTCGTTGTTGTCGTTGTTGTCGTCGTAAACTTTTCACATTTTCATCTTCTTCTCAAGAACCACTGGGCCAATTTCAACCAAACTTAGTACAAAGTATCCTTGTGTGAAGGGGATTCAAGTTTGTTCAAATGAAGGGCCAGGCCCTTTTCCAAGGGGAGATAATTATGAATTAGAGAAAAATTAATGGCATTTTTAAAAAATCTTCTTCTCAAGAACCACTGGGCCAGGAAAGATGAAACTCATGTGGAATCATCCTCAGGTAGTGTAGATTCAAGTTTGTTCAAATCATGACCCCCGGGGGTAGGGTGGGGCCAAAATGGCCGATCAAAGTTTTACATAGGAATATATAGAAAAAATCTTTAAAAATCTTCTTCTCAAGAACCACTGGGCCAGGAAAGATGAAACTCATATGGGATCATCCTCAGGTAGTGTAGATTCAAGTTTGTTCAAATCATGACCCCCGGGGGTAGGGTGGGGCCAAAATGGCCAATCAAAGTTTTACATAGGAATATATAGGAAAAATCTTTAAAAATCTTCTTCTCAAGAACCACTGGGCCAGGAAAGATGAAACTCACTTGGGATCATCCTCAGGTAGTGTAGATTCAAGTTTGTTCAAATCATGACCCCCGGGGTAGGGTGGGGCCAAAATGGCCGATCAAATTTTTACATAGGAATATATAGGAAAAATCTTTAAAAATCTTCTTCTCAAGAACCACTGGGCCAGGAAAGATGAAACTCATTTGGGATCATCCTCAGGTAGTGTAGATTCAAGTTTGTTGAAATCATGACCCCCGGGGGTAGGGTGGGGCCAAAATGGCCGATCAAAGTTTTAAGGCTGTGTCACACTGTCACGATTTTTGCTACGATTCCACACGACTTACAAAAAACCATAAATCGCCGACAATCGCCACGCTAGCCTAGCATTTTTTTGACAGAGGGTGATTTTTTCCAGTGTGTCACGATACGACTACGATGTCCGCTCAACAATGTACGAGGCTTATACGATAACAGAGCAAGTTTTGGCGAGTAATGTACAAGCAAAGACGATCACATAACGAACGCAATACGATCTTTATACGAATTTGTACGATAAAACGCGATTTTAAACGATGCTCTTACGAATACCTACGAGTCTTTACGATGCATACACAAGTTCTTACGAGTATACTTGGTTTGAGTATATATATCGAGGGATTGCTTGAAATTCTTTAGCATAGTTTCGAAGTTGTATAATTATGACAGTAGCTACCGTGCGGAGACTTCAACTGCTGCAATATTTGGGGGAACTTGAACAGAATATTGCTGAAAATGACGAGGCAATTGCCCATTTATTACACAACGGACACAACGGACGTCCACGGAGGCAAAGAAGAAGATACTGGATAAGACCATGGATCACTAGACGTACTCAGTATGGACATTTTGATCGTCTGATGAAAGAACTTGAAACGGAGGATGTATTGTCATTCAAAAACTTCCTCAGAGTAGAGCCAGATATGTTTAGAGAGCTTGTAGACAGACTGAGTCCCAGATTACAAAAACAAGACACGTGGTTTAGAAAGGCTTTGGAACCTGGATTAAAGTTGGCCATAACACTTTGGTATTTAGCAACAGGAGAGTCATACACAAGTCTTATGTACGGATTTCGAGTTCCACATAATACAATTTCCTTGCTGATTCGAGAAGTTTGTGAAAGTATAATAGCGGAATATGCTGATGAAGTAATTGCATGTCCAACAACTACAGATGAGTGGCAACAGATAGCTGAGCAGTTCAAAAATAGATGGAACTTGGACCATGTCCTTGGTGCTTTGGATGGGAAGCATATTGCTATAAAATGCCCCCGAAACGGAGGTTCACTTTATTACAACTACAAAGGGTTCCACTCCCTCATTCTTATGGGGCTTGTTGATGCTGATTATAAATTCATTGGGGTTGACATAGGTGCAAATGGTTCTGCATCAGATGCTACTGTGTTTAACAACTTAGAATTAAAAGATGTCATCGAAAATCAAAATATTGGATTTCCAGAAGCTGACCCCCTACCAAATGATAACAGAAACATCCCGTATTTCATCGTGGGTGATGACGCCTTCCCTCTCAGGACATGGCTTATGAAACCATTTGCAAGAAGGACTTTGACCAATGAGGAGCGTATATTCAACTATAGACTCAGCAGAGCAAGGCGCGTTGTAGAAAACGCATTTGGAATACTTGCCAACAGATGGCAATGCCTCTTAGCTCCCATGCACCAAGAACCAGAAACTGTTTCATCTATGGTATTAGCATGTTGCTGTCTTCATAATTTGATGCGAATGAGATTTCCAAATCTCCAAAACGAAAATCTTGACCAGGAGGACCTAAATCATCACGTGGTTCCGGGGGCTTGGAGAAATTGTGCAAACCTTACAGATTTGGATAACGTTGGTGGATGCAATCGAGCAACTATAGCAGCAAAGACCCAGAGGCTCTACCTGAAGCACTACTACAACTCACCCGTTGGGGCGGTTCCCTGGCAGAATGACATGATATAATGACTATGATTTAGAGATTTGTAAGTGTGTTCTGATGATTCTTCTGACGACCGTTTTATTGTTAATGTACTACATTGTAAATTAATAAATAAATCAGGACATTGTTTTAAATTTATTGTGTTTTAATAAACGTGAAACATTGGACAATGTTAATACTCATTCTCTGAACAAACCAAAAATAAAACAAACTTAAAATACAAACATTCGTAATAACATATGTGTATACTGAAAATGAACATCTGAATCACATGTACATTTACTTGTAGATCAGTAACTTTAATGTCTTATGATAATCATTACAGTTCAATGTACTTTGCAAAGAAAAGAATAATAAAAATAAAATAAAACACCAATCATGACTTAAAATGTTTCATTCCATGAATAAGGAGCAATCAGCAATGGGCAAATTTTTAAAAAAAAGGTTTGGATTTTTTCCTCAAGAAAAGGAACCTTCACAATTCTGAGTGCTATATATTATTAATTTTCGGCATGAAGGTTAGATTCATCACAAGGTATATCTGACTGAAGGTTGTTTAGAAATGAACTGATGTGGAAGGAGTTTGAGGACGATCTTGGAGTTGACTGAGCTTGCTGTTGTTGGTCATAACGAGGCTGTGTTGTGTCCCAGTTGATTGGTTGAAAACCGCCACAACTTTGTCGCTGTTCTACGCTTGCTCTTTGCTGTTGCTGAAATGATGACAAATTTGTCGGATTAGAGGCTTGTGCTCTTTCTCGTCGTATTCTGTTTGACTCCGAATAATACCAAAGGAGACTGTCGAAAGACTGTCGAAGATATTGTTCCCACAAGTCGTCATGGATATAAGGAAGCATGGTGCCCATCCAGTTTGCCCAAGCTGTGCGGGGATTATCTGCTGACTTGACAAGCTCGTCAATTCTGTTCTGAAGTGTCTTTGACTCCGTAACCCTTTATAAAGTTGAGCTAACATGTCCGAATCTCTGATGTTTGTTTTCTTTTTTGCAGTACGTGCCTTCATGCTTGGAAAGTTTGTAGTGCTTGGGTCTTTAGTGACAGTGGAAGAAGTACATGGTTGATTTCCTTTATCGTCTTCCTCATTTTCGATTTCCTCTTCACTATCGACCGTCTGAGGTGTGTCAGGTCTATTTGAGCTGTCAAGGCCCAATTTTGTCCGGAACTACAGCAATAAAATAATTTATCAAAAATAAATAAAATGAAAAAAATATACTAGTAGTTGGCTGCATTTATAAGTAGTGTAATGATACTTACACTTACGGCTTGTCTACTGAATACACGAACTATATGGCCGGATAGGAAAGAAAATGACTCTTTGACCCATTTGTCTCTCAGTAAGTTCCTTACGGCTGTCACCTGATTTCGTTTGAGACAATTTTCCATACATTGTGCGCATACTTTTATACCAGATTTGTAAATCTTCCACTAAAAAAAAAAGATGCAAAATTGTAATGTAAATTAACAAAACAATTGTGTCAAGAGTAACAATTTTCTCAAAATGCAGCATTTAATATAAAATTCATGCCTGGAACATCCATTTCTTGAGCCCTCTCCTGCCAAAGGCGCTGCTTTTTCTGTGTATCTTTGTATTCTTTTGAGCCCTTATTGTAAAATATAAGGTGGTTCTTAAGCCATTCAACAAGTTCTGCCTCTTGTTCCTCACTGAAATTAAGGTTCTGTCGCCGCTTTTTTTGTAACGGCTCTGATTCTTGTGGAGGTGGTTCTTCTGTAACTGGAGTCGAATCAATATGTTCTTCAATTTCAGGACTACAAGTCTTTTCAGTTTCTTTTTGAGTTTTCTTCCCCTTTCATCTTGGCGGCATTTTGATTTTTGACAAGAAAATCAACAGATATCTTCTTTTATGGTCAACGCGTATACGTACAATCGTACTATTTCGTAGTTCACTCGCACGGTACTTGTATTGCACTCGCCGTCAATCGCCTGTGTTCGTATCATAGTCGCATGAAATCGTACGACATTCCTTTTGAGTCGAGAAACACTCGCAAAAACTCGTGGGACAATCGCAATAAATCGTAGGAAACTCTCAGAGTCGGAAGTTCTATGATTTTTAGCGAGTGTCCCACGAATGTTGAAGATTTACAACGATTATGTGTACGAGTATATTGCGATTACTGTACGATCGCTTACGGATAATTAAAAATTGTACTCTGGCCACGATTGTTTTGAACATGTTCAAAACAATCGCCGCGTTTGATGATTTGCTGCGATGAAACACGAGTTAAGAAGATATACTACGACTATCTCTACGATGAACGCCGAATTACCGCGAGTTTTTAACTCGTACTCTGTCGTAGCCAAAAATCGTGACATTGTGACACGGGCTTTACATAGGAATATATAGAAAAAATCTTTAAAAATCTTCTTCTCAAGAACCACTGGGCCAGGAAAGATGAAACTCATTTGGGATCATCCTCAGGTAGTGTAGATTCAAGTTTGTTGAAATCATGACCCCCGGGGTAGGGTGGGGCCAAAATGGCCGATCAAAGTTTTACATAGGAATATATAGGAAAAATCTTTAAAAATCTTCTTCTCAAGAACCACTGGGCCAGGAAAGATGAAACTCATGTGGAATCATCCTCAGGTAGTGTAGATTCTAGTTTGTTCAAATCATGACCCCGGGGGAAGGGTGGGGCCAAAATGGCCGATCAAAGTTTTACATAGGAATATATAGGAAAAATCTTCTTCTCAAGTATAACTGGGCCAGGAAAGATGAAACTCATGTGGGATCATCCTCAGGTAGTGTAGATTCAAGTTTGTTCAAATCATGACCCCCGGAGGTAGGGTGGGGCCAAAATGGCCGATCAAAGTTTTACATAGGAATATATAGGGAAAGTCTTTAAAAATCTTCTTCTCAAGAACCTTCGGGTCAGGAAAGATGAAACTCATGTGGAATCATCCTCAGGTAGTGTAGATTCAAGTTTGTTCAAATCATGACCCCGGGGGAAGGGTTGGGCCAAAATGGCCAAAGTTTTACATAGGAATATATAGGAAAAATCTTTAAAAAGCTTCTTCTCAAGAACCACTGGGCCAGGAAAGATGAAACTCATGTGGAATAATCCTCAGGTAGTGTAGATTCAAGTTTGTTCAAATCATAACCCCCGGGGGTAGGGTGGGGCCAAAATGACCGATCAAAGTTTTACATAGGAATATATAGAAAAAACCTTTTAAAATCTTCTTTTCAAGTACTTCAAAGCCAGGCTTCGTTATATTTATAGGGAATCATCCTCAGGTAGTGTAGATTCAAGTTTGTTCAAATCATGACCCCCCGGGGGTAAAATTCAAGCACCCCCCCCTCCCCCCCCCCCCCCCCCCCAGTTTACTTTCAGTTCTGATCTGATCTGTGTTTTTTCCTAGCCAATTGCTCAGGTGAGCAATGTGGCCCCTGGGCCTCTTGTTTAACCAACCTCTATACAAGTACTATATCCACCCCTAATCCTTTATAACTGTCTCTACAGATCAATAACATTTGTCGTAATGAATTAAGCTCACCTGAGCCAAAGTCTCAAGTGAGCTTTTCTGATCAAAATTTGTCCGTTGTCTGTCTTCGTTGTTGTAAACTTTTCACATTTTCATCTTCTTCTCAAGAACCACTAACCAATTTCAACCAAAGTTGTCATAAAGGTGCCTTGGGTAAGTATGTACAAATGAAGGGCCATGTCCTCTTCCAAGGGGAGATAACTATGAATTATTGAAAAATTAATGGCAATTTTAAAAAATCTTCTCAAGACTCACTGGGCCATTAAAGATGAAACTCATGTGGAAGCATCCTCAGGTAGTGTTGATTCAAGATTGTTCAAATCATGACCCCCGGGGTAGGATGGGGCCACAATGGCTGACCAAAGTTTTACATTGAAATATATAGGGAAAATCTTTAAAAATCTTCTCAAGAACAGCAAAGCCATGATAATTGGTGATATTCATATGGAAGCATCCTTAAGTTGTGTATATTCAAATTTGTTCAAAACATGACCCCCTGGGTAGGGTGGGGCCACAATAGATGATCAAAGTTTTACATAGGAATATAGAGGAAAAAGCTTTAAATTTTTTCTTCTCAAGAACAGTGAAGTCATTATTGGTCATATTTATATGGAGGCATCTGCAGGTGGTGTAGTTTCAAGTTTGTACAAATCATGACCCCCCCAGGATAGGGTGGGGCCACAATTGACAATCAAGGGTTTACATAGGAATATATACCGTAAATCTGGAAATTTTTACGGCGATTTATTTTTGCGAATTTAGGTCAGAAAGCTGTAGATTAATTTTTACGTTTCAAAATTTTGCGAATTGTCATTGGCGCTAAAAATAAAAAGCACTAAAAATTTTCATTTTCATATCAGTTTATGTTTCAAATTAGTTAGAACAGTTAGAATATCAACTAGCAACATGGCAAAGAATTCAGAATCATTCCGGAAAAATTTTGAAGAATACAAAAGGATTTGCACTGAAAATAACTTCCAAATTATTTATAACAAACCTTTTTGAGGTTGTGTATGCCTTTAAACCTAAAATATAATCCAGATAAAGAAGAAAATTTAACTAGGCCTAATTTCTTCAACGTTTTTTGAACTTTTTTCTCAACCAAAATACACACCATGTTTACATTTGGAACTCTCTAATAAATGCACTGAGTTCAAATTATTGCCCGTGTTTATATATTACATGGTAAGTTAAATAATTGGTCTCTCTTTCTTGGCAAAATAATTAAATTCTGCCTCAGTGCCTGTCAAACCATACTACGATATTGAAATACATGTAATTAGGGCAATTTACACACACGGGTAATTAGCTTGTAGTATAAACAGATTTCTTAAAATGACCAGTGCTTACGAACACCTGTTCACTGAGTTAAAAATAAACACCAGCTTTCTGCAAATTTTTTGTTAACATGTTGATTTATTTTTAAGAAAAATATTTTTGCGAATGTATTGCACGCGCAAATTTGCTAAAAATTTATATACAGTAAAAATTTCTAGATTTACGGTAGGT